TTCAAAAAAAAAAAAAAAATCCTAGCGCACAAATTCTTGTTCATTATTGTCTATGATCTAATTGTTTTATAGCCAATGATTTTTTTATAGGCATTAGTTACAACTAATAAGGAAAACAATAAAAGAGGAAATCAAAGTTTCTAATTCCTGATAAGCTTAAGTCTATCTAATAGCCTAAATAAATGAGGTATTAAATGATAATGAGAATTACGAAGAAATTATATAATCTTAAATTAATTTCAAATCAAGATCATCACTGACTAAGAATGCATTAAAAAAAAAAGTCTCAGAAGGGGTTGATGTTTGAAATGTAGGGGTAAATTTCGCCAGATTGAGCAGTCTAAATGGTCAGAGAGTGGATAAAATGCTATCTAGGAGGATAGTTTTTTTTTTGAAATAAAAGTATGTTGTATTGAAGTAAAGGTGCCAAGGAGGCACCGCCCATTTACAAAAAATTTACAGATCATCTAGGAGGATAGTACCGTAAAGTAAGGAACTGTGTCTATCTCTTTTGACATGTTAGCTGATATTGGCAGTACTCAATTGAAGTCTCTGCCTCTGCCTCTGTCTCATAGGAAATATATGTTCAGTTACATGAAGTGTGGCTTTGTGTTGTAGGAGTTCACAGGAGGACGGGATGGAAATATATGTTCATTGTTTGTTGTTACTCAAAGCCTTGGGAATCTTTTCAACATTCCTTCCAACAGTGTTGTTTTTGTATATCATAACATTTATTGCAACAGTGACCATTTGCTGTTTGCATTTTCAAGTGGTTATGTTGGTTCTAGATTTTATGTGTTTGGACTGGATTTCGCCAAGTACTGTTGAGGAATTACTAAGATCATGTTTTGGAATGCCTTGTCTGGTGCTTCGCCACTGTTTGTAAATTTTGTTTTCTACAGAATACACAATGTTTGCAATTATAGAACTCATGAAGCAATTGAGCAATCCATTGCTGATACAAAGATGAGAATTCGGGGATTGAGCAATCTACTAGAAGTCATTAGTTCTTCATTGAAACATTTTCTTGAATTTGTAAACTATAGTCTTAAACTTGTTTTGATATATTTTCTTTCCCTGTTTCTATCTCTTTATTATTGTATTATTTTAGAAAAAGAAATATTTTTAGAAAGGGAGAGAGATTAGAAAGCTAAGGAGAATTCTCTGTTCCAAGGGTTAACATGTCTGCATTATCTGAGCTTCTTGAGGCTTTTATGTTGAAGCCTGATCTAGACCTACTTTCACCTTGTTTCTTGTCTATATTATAATTCTGTTATCCTTTCCTTGATTGATTGCCCTCTTTGTAGCGCCTTTTTATTTTTCTTTCAGAAATCTATTGAAAAAAATGTCATATGAATAACTCTTTTTCTACTGAAGTTCATTATTATAAATTTTCTATGTTCACTGTTAATTCTATGTAATGCAGTAGTGCTCTTTTAGAAAGACATTAGTTTTCTTATCTTTCTTCTTTCTGTTTCAGAAAGCTTTATATTGCTGATGCAAGACCTAGGAAAAATGCTTTAGCAAATGGAGCAATGGGAGGTGGCTCGGAATCATCTTCAAATTATTTCCAGTCTGAGGTCTGAAGAAGATTTGAAATGTCCATTTATTCTTTTACTGGCTCATTTATCTTATATGAAATTAAATATTTTTACTTGTATTCTCTTTTGTCAGATAGTATTTTTTGGGATTGACAATATACATGCAATGAGAGATAGCTTTGCTCGGCTTAGAGACTATCTGGATACCCATGGTGCTGCATCTTCAGATGGAATGTCATCATTCTTGGTTAGTCCTGCAATTCTACTAAGATACAGCTATTTACCAAATGGAGATTTGAGTGGTGATTGGTATTTGAGGTTATATTGTATGGATAGTTAAGTTCGTATGCTTCAGGTGACTACAGAATTGGTGTTGCCAATTAAATTATCTTGTGTAAAATATTCAGTTACCAGAACTTTGAGGCATTCGTTTAATTTAGAGCATCTATCTTTGTCATCCTATTATGCCCTTAACTGTATACAGTACTTTTGTCTTGAATTGTTAGATCTGCCTAGGTGTCAATCATATGGATGTCATCTACAAACTCCAGATTTTAAATGAGGTGTTTCAAGTGGCGATATGACATTTCCACTAAACTTCAGAATGGATGTCATTTTTTAAATTGTGTGGAATATTTGTTTATACCAGCTTTTTTAAACAGAGACATGGTGGTTGGACATGGGGTGGAGGTAATCTCAGTAGTATGTCTGCATCAGTATCCACCCTTGGAGACAGTGGTTGGTTAATACATGTCCAGAGTGTCTTGGCTGGTTCAGCTTGGATTGCTGCACGTGTTGCTTTGGAGTCTGCATCAGTTCTTGTTCACTGCAGGTCTGTAGCCTTGTATCATATTGTCATCTAATCTTTGAAAAGTTTATATCCATTGTTTATAATCTGTTGTCAGTTCACACTAATGATGTTGTCTTCCGCCTCAAGCCCTATAGATATATGTTCCTTTGTTCGGATTTTGGATGTAGTCAACATTGGTGAA